TGAATGACCATCTAATTGTGCTTTTTATTATCCTGTCTTAACATCCCATAAACGGATAGAGTTATCATAACTACCAGATGCTAATGTAGTTCCATCAGGAGAGAAACAAATTGATAAAATATCTTACGAATGACCATCTAATTGTGCTTTTTATTATCCTGTCTTAACATCCCATAAACGGATAGAGTTATCTGAACTACCAGATGCTAATGTAGTACCATCAGGAGAGAAACAAACAGAACTAACACCATTTGAATGACCATCTAATTTATTTAACTCATGTATTTTAATATTTTTCCATTTACAATTGAACAATTAAGCTTATTTCAAGTTGATTCCACTTATATCCACATTATCAAATTCTGATCCATTGAAATTGCATCTTACAAAGTTTCCACCAACCAAAGAAGTATCTCTAATCCTTATATTCTCAAAGCTTTATTCTCTCAAATCCACCTTCATTTCTACTAATAAATTGAGTGCATTCGATCCGCTTTAGATAAATCTCTCATCGATGGCTGTAAGAATTATTAGGAATTTCAAAAATTCAATAATTTGCTCCTTTTAACAAATCTTTTTCTTCAAATCCTTCTTAATTTCTTCAAATTCTTCATTTGAGTAATCCTTTTTATTGAAGTCAAGTTCACTTATATTTTTGAGTAGATCATGAATAAATCTCAACTTAGATTTCGCTTAATTGCTCTTCTCTGATAGATATTAAAAGCAATTTGTTATTTTTTCCAATCTGAACCTTTCCAATATCTAATCAAAGTCGATCCTGTCAATCTAAGTCAATGTTTCATACAAATCCTCCTTTCTGACATAAGCTTGTACGATTTCTTGTTCTTCCTCTTTTACTTCTTACACTTGTGAGTCTAATGTCTTATTAAGTTGAATCTCATTCACTTCATGTATGATAATGTCTTCTAAGTTAAGTTTTACCTTGAAAGGAGGGTTAGTTTTTGGTGTTTGTTCAAGAATGTGTGGTTGGATACTTTGAGTTTGTTTGGAAGGAAGAAGCAGATCTTCAAAAGAAGCAATGGCATCATCCATTCTAATGTAAGATTTCTGAAATATATTGGAATTTATATTTTACCTCTAACTCTTCATTCAATTCTCTAAAACAGATGTTAACTTGCTCTTACGATTCTGAATGTCTAAACATAATTGTATAAAAAAGAATATTTAAAATAATGATATGAAAAAATGATTTTCTATTAGTTTAAGGTGAAGTAGAAGAGAAATTAGGAAAAAGGTAAGGAATAAGATTATATTTAATTCAACAAAAAGGTGATGAAATAACTTTTTTTTGGAAGGATTGGAAGCATTAAAGAACCATAGAAAGAATGGAAGAGAGTTAGAAACTTGGGTGGTAATATTGGATAAAAGCTTTAAATAGGAGGATAAATATTTTTTGTTAATCTAATATATTAAGTTTGCAAATCGTGGCCCTATATATTCCGATTAGAGTATACTTTATTAATGTTGAAACCATTTTTGGAAGTATCCTTTAGGAGAATCAAGGAAAAATTTAGGGCCCAGTTTAAAATCAAGGGTTTTCTTGCCTAGTACAACCTCAAGGTAGGTGTAATTCTTAGGTAGTTATAGAATATATAAGGGCGGAGAAGTTGCACAGATGTGCCATAAGGGTTGTTGAAAGATATAGACTTCACTGGTTTTAGCAGTAGCCTACTACTTTACATAACAACTCTGGGTGAAAGACAGAGTTGTTATGTAAAGTAGTAGGCTATATATGCTAAGCAGGCTCCCACTGTGTACCCAATAGTGCCACAAATTTCGCGCCATAACGTATTCGCAATCCTAAAACCAAAGTTGTTTTCCTATATTGAAGTTATTACATATAAATTAATTGATGTTAATAGATGAGAACACAAGATATAGTTTAATGCCTTTATTTGAAGAATATTTATA